TTCGTTTAATTTTTCTCTTTAGCAGTCCTATGACTTTTTTCAAATAACCAAGTGCTGTAACTGCTGTAGTGAAGGCATGAAATCAGTTGTGGGAAGGTGTGTGTGTGTGTTGGGAGGAAGGGATCAACTGGGAGATCTTTCTGAAGAGAGAGTCCTCATGACAAAAAAGCTGGAGAACCACTGGCCTTCCTATTCAGGAGGTCTCCTGGCATGCTGTAAAAGCCACATCAGAACATAGACTAATATCACTGCAGCCTTCCAGACAGGGCAAAATTAACGGTTTTGCTCTTCAGGTTTTGTTTTGTTTTCCAGTCAGCATGTCTGACTCACTATAACTGCAAGCGCTTGTGTGGTTTTTAATAATTTAATATTTCTCTGTAAATCAGCATTTGTTTTGTGCAGTGGTTCTCACCAAGGAAGTGCAGTTACATCTTACTCTACTTATCCTAAATATCTGCTAGATCTTAATTTCTTTTATTTCCAGTGTGCTGAAAACTTGGCAATATCACAAGACTTAGGATTCCATATTGCTCTTCCTCGGAAATGAGTAAGACAAATGTCATCATTTGCTGAGTTGGCAAAGGTGGGACCAATAAGTCAAGTGAGATTGCAGACTTGGTATCAGAACACTACACCCTTCAGTGCCCAGTGTTTGCTCATTGTAAGGTGCAGGGCTAACTCTAAAGTTCAGGTCCAGTTTCAGCCCTTAATGAGAACACTTCCTAGGGAAGGGGAATTTCAGCCTGGGGCTTGAGCATGGGGCCTTTCTGTAAAGTTTCCTACTGAACAGCGATGTCCTACCGATGTCTCCAGAAGTTCAGTACAGTTTCTCAGTCGCAGATACAAACTGCACCATCTTTCAGCCCAGGCGGAACAGGGGTTTCTTTTCATATAGCTGGAATGCTGTAAATGCCGGTGAGAAGATGATACCTAACAAAGGGTAACAAAAACCTGTGCGGTGCACGTTTGCAGTGAGGGCAGAAGCCTATGCTCCCTGCAGCTGCCTGGGAAGCACAGATGTACATAGAGACTCTTAACTTTGGGAAGCATGTCCTTAGTTTTTATGCATTTTTTAATAATAAAACATGTACTGTGTCTGAGTCCCAGCCTCTTATCTGTGGCAGAGTTTGTGGTGATGCTCACTTACTGGGAGGGATGCACAGCGACAGACTCATGGTGAATGTGTCAGCCCCAGCTAAAAGCCGTCTTTCTCCCTTCACCAAGCACAATTAAGCTACTTCTTGGAGGCAGAGAACATGTTTGGCCTTGCCAGGTGGCAGTTACTCTGCATTGCTCCAACCTTGAGACTGAAGGCTGAAATCTGATGAGCATGGGCCAGTGGTTCCACAAAGAGATGGGCTCTGTGGCCATGGCTGTGCAGGAGCCTGGGGACAAGCCCTTACTGGGACGTGCTGCATCCTACCTGGGAATGCAAAACCTCTGCATCCGTTCCTCCCTGAAACCTGTCACCTGCACCCATCCCAGCTCCTGGCAGTGCTCTCTGTGGAAGAGAGGTTTGGAGGCGGTGGGTAAAATTCATCTGCTGAGTCAAATGTTCCAAGCGCAACATAAAAGAGCCCCTGGATTTCCAGCTCACCGAGAAGAAAAGGTGAACCTCAGGCTTTTATTCTTCATCAGCAAACAGCACGGTGCACGCCCTCTGCCTGCCAGCTCACACAGAGAGGAAGAGTGATGGTAAACGGTATGAGTGCTCACCCCCCATCTGCAATGCAGGAAAAATGACTTCCGAAGCACAAAGTGGCTGATTTAGTTAATATTTTAAGGTTCCATTGCCCAGTGCTGTCCCTTGGATTTGGTTCAAATTATGATTTAATCCTTTTGCATGCAAGCTTGGTCAGACCAGGTACAAATGAGGCTGTATTGTGGGTGGGAGAAGTGACACCAGAAGAAGAGCTAGTGAGAAAAGAGGGAGGGAAGGAGATTTTAAAATGGGAACAGATGGGGTGAGCTGTGAAGAAAGCAAACGAGGGAGTCAGAAAGCAGAGATGGGGAATTTTATATATGAAATCCCAGAACAGAGAGGGCATTTCCCCAGCTGGGACCAGGCAGGGGTCTGAGATGGGGGCTGGCTTCCTTTTGGTGAAGGATGAGATATTCTGGTCCAGCCCAGGTGCCCTGCAGTGTGTTGGTCTTAAATGGTGGAGAGGCTGTACGCAGCTGGCCTGGCTCTGCATCTGCTTGATCACAGCGCTGTGGCCCTGACCCCAGGGAAGCTTTAACCTAACATTCTGATTTAAGCACCAGTCTAGCACACTGGTTTCCTAACTAAACTAAACTAAACGCTTCCCTCACAACCGCACTTTTTTCCCCGCTGCCCCAGTACAACAGTGCAGTCCTCCCAAGCAGCAGTGCCCTTGCCCCATTCCCTGTGGTGGGACAGCCAAGGAACACTGCCCATCTCCAATGAAGCAACCTCTGTCCCACACCAGTAAGCCTGGCCACACTCCTCCTCCATCCCCACCTCCCTGAGGATGGACAGGGTCTCCTCCTTTCTAACGCTGCTTCAAGCCACTCGGGGCAGTTACCAGCTCAGTCATGAGGCAGGATGACCCCACAGTGCCTAAAATGGGCACGCAGAAGCTCACAGCACCATCTGTGTCACGTAGGGCAGGTAACGCATGAGGAGAGATGCCCCAGTCAGCTCCAGTGCCAGGGCTGACTGAGGGAACCAGGACTACGGGCTGCACTGGCAGCTCAGCTTGCAGATACAGGGATGCTCCAGCCCAATCCGGTACCCGTGTGGTGTGGGGAATGGTGTGCTCGGGGCTGACGGCTCAGCAGCTCCTGCAGTGCATGGATATACCTCGGAGCTAATACACAGCTACCCTGAGACCTGCCACCTTCCTTCCCAACCTGTGTTTGGAGAGAAGTCTTACAGTCTTGCCTCAGTAAAATGCCTCCCTGAAATCAAATGCAATTACTTTTGAATGAAAGTTTGAGCCTGGCTGACCAGAGAAAGGAATGGTATTTGCATATATCTATTTTCTTGATTTACGTTCTATTTTGCTGGCAGTATTTGTTTTTCCCCTAATACTCAGACAGCCGCCAGTTTTTGCAAATTCCCATATTTTTTATGAGGGATTTCCATGAGGGACCATCAAACACAGCCCTAATTTTACACCAATTTGTTATTTCACATCTGTTATGCTCCTTTAACACAGCAAGTTGTTCTATGGACACTTGGAGCAAAGGAAGCCTGGTCTGCTGTGGATTTGCATCCCACAGGTGACTGCAAGCCCCAGGTGAGGCTTGCCACTAGTTAAGGTACTTAGAAGAGCTTTTCCTTTGGTAGACTGTCTGATGTCCAACATGAAGTCATTGAATTTCCATCTGCAGTGAAGGTACCGATGTGGCACTACCAGGGTCTGTCACACACAGCCTGTTTTCAGAAAACTTGTAGGAACTTTATTATCCTTCAGACCTCGATCTTACCATCACATTTGGCTGAAATGAAGCAGAGGATTCAAAAGCTGTTAGGGACAACACGTGCAGCTGGTGATCAGAAAGCCTTGTTACCATGGGAAACCGAGCTGAAAATCAATTACTCAGTCGAAGAACAGAAGAGGCTGATGGACATGGTTTTTGATTGCTTTTGCTCTGTCGTATAAAAGGAACTCGACGTCAGTATGAATCAAACCTCAGTCACTGCACTGAGGTCTAGTGACAAAACAAAGATGATTGACTCCTCGCTTTCTTATTACTCTGTGGATCCTCCAGCTTGAGGCACACCAAGCCAAGCCATTCCCAATGCGGATAGGCTGGGGAAACGGAACATCTTTTGGTCACGTTTGACAATAGGACTGAAATTAGGAGCCGAATATCTCAGCAGCACAGTTGCTGGCTCCCACCGAGCCCAGCTTTGCAGGCGGGCGTTCCAGTGAGCCACCAGCCACATCTTGGAAAGTGTCTAAACAGCTTTTTTTTCCTCCAGTTTCTTTTCAATGGATGAAAATAGAACTGAAAGAAACGTTTGACCTCAGGAAATGGATGACACTTGTTGATTTAAGCTTTGTTGAGTTCAGTAGGGATTTAATACTGCGTCCAGTTCTGGAGCCCCCATCACAAGAGAGACATGGAGCAGCTAGAACAAGTCCAGAGGAGGCCACCAGGATGATCCGAGGGCTGGAGCAGCTCTGCTGTGAGGACAGGCTGAGAGAGTTGGGGCTGTTCAGCCTGGAGAAGAGAAGGCTCTGGGGAGATCTTATAGCGGCCTCCCAGTACCTGAAGGGGCTACAAGAAAGCTGGGGAAGGACTTTTCATAAGGGCAGTTAATGACAGAACAAGGGGAAATGGGTTTAAACTGAAAGAGGGGAGGTTTAGATGAGATCTGAGGAAGAAATTCTTTCCTGTGAGG